CACCCAACGATGCACACTGGCAGAGCTGGTCAAAAGGATATTTGCTTGTAAAGTGAGCTGTCTGAAATACTCTGCTGGAAAGGCACTAACCGTAGAGATGCAAAGCATTAGTTGGCGCCAAACTCTGCCTGTGTGACGGACTGGACCAGGGTGATTGGAATGCCTAAAGAAATCTTTACTTGTCAGGTAGGTAGCTTGTATTTGGAGAGATCAATGATTGTTTTAAGATCTGATATCTCCTAGCTCATTAACAACCAGGGACATAAACTAATACTAAACAGTACACCAGTGGAAAGCTAGCAACCGCACACAGCAGATCTGTCCTACCCCTGGTGGTTCCCAAGAAATCTGACCTTAAAATCACATCATTCTGATTACAGCTTGGGCTTTTATCACTGCCCTCCGCATGCCTCTCTCAATTCTGAAATGACCTTAGAGGTTAGAGAACAGTTCCATCTTGAACCAATGCTGCACACGCCATCTGAGGGACTGTGTTCCCACTTTCTGGAGATATAGTTGTTGTTATTTGTATCGCAGTTTAGGAGCCCGTCATGAACCAGGACCCCATTGTGCTAAGTGCTATACGAACACAGAACAATTGAGGTTGGTGCCTCTAGGCACTATCATAATGCAAATGATAAATAGAGGGGGAGGGATAGTTCAGTGGTTTGAGCATTGGCTTGCTAAACCCAGGGTTGTGAGTTCAATCCTTAAGGGGGCCACTTAGGGATCGGAGGCAAAAATCAGTACTTGGTCCTGCTAGTGAAGGCAGGGGGCTGGACTTGATGACCTTTTGGGGTCCCTTCCAGTTCTATGAGATAGGTATATCTCTATATATTAATAGGTTTCAGAGGGGCAGCAAACTTCTTGGCTCAGAGCATTAGCAGCAAGACAAGCTAGAGCAGGGGTGGGCAAACTTTTTGGCCCGAGGGCCATATCTGGCTATGAAAATTGTATGGTGGGCCATGAATGCTCACAAAATTGGGGGTTGGGGTGCGGGAGGGCTCAGGCTGGGGGTGTGGGCTCTGGGGTGAGGCTAGGGATGAGGGGTTGGAGATGCAGGAGGGTGCTCCGGGCTGGGACAGAGGGGTTCAGAGGGCAGGAGGGGGATCAGGCCTGGGGCAGGGGTTTGGGGCACAGGAGGGAGTCAGGGTGGCAGGCTCCACGTGGCACTTACCTCAAGCAGCTCCCAAGTGGCATGTCCCCCCTCTGGCTCCTACGTGGAGACACAGCCAGGCGGTTCTGTGTGCTGCCCTGTCTGCAGGCGCTGCCCCCGCAGCTCCCATTGGTTGCGGTTCCCGGCCAATGGGAGCTGTGGGAGCAACGCTTGGGGTGGGGGCAGCATGCGGAGCCCCCTGGCTGCCCCTATATGCCAGAGAGAGAACATGCTGCTGCTTCTGGGAGCTGTGCGGACTGGAGCAAGACCCCGACCCCGCTCCCTGGCTGGAGCGCCAGAGCAGGCAAGCTGCAGACCCCACTTCCCGGCGGCAGGTCAAGGGCCGGATTAAAACATCTGGAGGGCCAGATGTGGCTCCCGGGCCGTAGTTTGTCCACCTCTGAGCTAGAGGCTAAATTCCTGCCCCACCCCCCTAATGTTCCACTTATTGAACACACTGTGTATGACCGTTTGTGTTGCCCTGAGACGCGAGCCAGGTGAAAGGATGACACCATGGGCTTGTCTTAGCACAGATCAGAAACACATCTGCCACATTTTTCAAAGTACAAATATTACTATATGATGTTACTAGTGTTTAGAGCACAGACTGATTTCCAGCTATGTCACTGATATACTGTAGGACACTGGGCAAATCTTTTCTTCTCTGTGCCTCGTGTTCCCACTTTGTAAAAAGGGGGTAATGATGCCAATCTCACAGAGTGTTGGGAGGCCAGTCATCACTTAATGTTTGTAAAGCATTTTGGGTAAGGCAGATGAAGTGTGTTATAGAAGTGCCAATACTATACCAAGCCACAACCAGCAGCTGCAAACTTGCTTTGCATCATTCTATTTGATTGATACAATTTCCAGGGCACCTTCCCAAGCAAACAGTCCCAAGGACGCCAATTGCTAGCATCCAAAAGGATATTAATAAATCTCAGCTATAGAGCCCAGAAGCTAAGGAGACTGTTTAGCCTTTGTGCTAAAGAGAAAGGAAGCACTTCCCAAAGGAGCTGTGGCATAGGCAAGGGCGTGAATAGATCGACAGCTTCAGACGACAAGTGTGTGGGTAACAACACATCGAAGTCTGAGCTCAGGAGCAAGACAAGAGACTGAGCTGGAGCCACTGATGTATCAGGCTTAATATTGTACAATGAGAGAATCCAAAAGAAATGTCGTGAGATCAGCCGGGGAAGGGCTTCTTGTGAAAGGAGACAAGCTTTAGATGCCTTGGCTCTTGAGATGGGGCCCATGCCGCATAGGACTGATGTGATCAACCTATACTGTGCTTCAGAGCAACAATTGCATTCAGGAATTATGAGGGATGAATATCCGCCAACAAGGGATGGGATCATAAAGGGACAGTAGTTAACAATTCATTCCATGATTGCTTACTCCAGGCCAGGACTTGGGGAGACCCTGTGTGGTGACACAAGGCAACACAGGCTGTGTCAGTCTGGGAGCAAGAGAATCAGAGAGAATCACAGGGTCTGCGTGCATCCAGCAGCCTCAGTAAAGAATCCTTCTATTCTAGTCTTTACAATTGAGTCACCGCTCTTCCCTACCACGAGGGACACTATGGGGCAATTGCCATAGCTGTGTGTACTTGAATATTATAACATCAGTAAAAACAAAGCTAAGCCCTTACTCAAGCTGTGTTCTTGTGAGGGACAGCAATGTGAATAGAGCAGTCAAATGGGTCAGGGACTAGTAGGATAAACCCTTCAACAGTGGTCACCTCCCTCCACCTATGTCTCTTTCTAGCTATTGGTTCCTGTATAGCAGCTAGGCAGCAAGAAGACCACTCTTGGCAGAAGACAGAAATATGTGGCTGTCACCCATATTATAGTGGAGTCCGAATCAATATCGCTTGTTTAATGGTCCTAAGAGATGACAGCATATACAGTAGATCATTAGTTGCCAATTTATTGCTGATCCTTGGGTTAGGAGGAAAGGCAACATTATACATATGGCAACCTGGTGAGCTTCTGCTGACACAATCTAATTTACTAATACAAATCTCACCAAGGGAACAATAACCCCTCCTGCTTGAAGTATCAACACAGCAGACTCTTATGCAAGCTAGACTATGGTGGCATCATCAAAACTGATTCTAAAATTAAGTAATTTTAGGCACAGTCACATGCGTTTATATATAACAAACAACAAAAAGGTACCAGCAGCAAAGAGGCTGTGTGAAGTGAATGATATCACTGCTAGGAGTGAAAGAACAACCTAAGCTTTGAAACCTACAGGCAGATCTTAGGACCAGATCCTCAGCTGATGTAGATGGGCATAGTGCTAGTGACTTCAGTGGAGCTATGCTGATTTACACCAGCAGAGGATCTGGCCCCTGATCTGGTTTAATGGCTTATTCTATCCACTCTGTCTAGGTTTTCATACTACACTGCTCTGTAATATCTGAGTGCTTGGATTGTGGTCTTTTAACTACTGAAACTGAACTGATTGTAGAGGTCAACCCCTCGATGGAGACAACATGGGGACACTGGTTCCTCTGTACATTATTTACTATCTCACTTACTTAGTCTCATCGGTAGATTTGTGGGGAGCAATTTCTCTCTTGTTCTTATACACCCCAGTGGGCACATTCCTGACATCTCATCAAGAAGACAGTACAAACACCACCCGCTGTTAGCAATGTGCTTTCCACGGTGAGAGAAACCAGCAACGAAAGGATGAGTAAGTTCTTAAAGCATATGCACGGAGACTAAGGATATGGCTACACTGCAGTCAGAGGTGTGAGTGCAGCACATGTAGACAGACCCAGATGAGCTTTAATCTAACTTGCATCATACTAGCCACAGTAACACCAGCTTCAGTGCAGGTTGTACAAGCCCACCCTGGGTATTTACTTGTGCAGCCAGTGCACACTTAGGTTCATATTGCCACAACTTCACTGCTGTTGGTACTCATGTTAGCTAGGGGCTCATCTACACAAACATTTTGTTTGTGGCAAGCTGGGCTGTGAATCTACCTTGCGCTAGGCTGCCATGGACAAACCGATTGTGTGGATCCTGCTGACATGCATTAATAGTTCATTAATATGCTTTGATCTAGTCCCGGCTCATCAGCAGGGTCCCCATGTATAGTTAACCCATGGCAGGCTTGTGTGGGATAGAGTCGCACCCCAGCTTGCCGCAAATGAAATGTGTGTGTAGATAAGCCCTAGATTAAAGCTAGTTGGGTACGTTTACATGTGCTGGAATCACACCTCCCATCACAGTGTAGACAGATCCTAAGACTCCCATGTGGCTGCTATATTCCTAAAGGCTAGAGATGCCTGAGAACTCTTAATGAGGATACACTGCTGCGATTAATGTTCCAGTGTGTGCTCGTGTTTGAATTAGAGAGCCACTGAGGTGTGTGCTGCTTCTTTGGCTCTCCACCTCCCCAAAACCTTTAGCTGTGCTTTTGAGGAAACCTTAAGCATTTAAGGGAATCCAAGTGGGAGCTTTGTGATTCAGTGAATGAAGCCAGCCAAACTTGGCCCGCTCCCATTTGTTTTGCACTGGGCAGTGTATGTGCTCTGCACTCCAGAGACCAGAGCGCCTGACCTGCTGAAGTGTGTGGGATCAGGCTGCTCTCTAGTGGCTACAGCTTGCAGGGGATAGAAACCCCGATACAGCAACAGCCAGTGGAGATTCTTCTTTAGCTGAAGCGTTTGGGACTTGTGGGACAGAAGATCCTGAGCTTTCTCCCCGTTGATGGCTGAGAGCGTCTATCCATGTGGCCTCTCACTATGGAACTACCTCAGTAAGCTCCTGCCTGCCACACCCTCCTGGGTTTACTATTAAATCAAGCCTTTGTCCTTCCACCCCCGCTGTCAGCAGCACAAGATCTTGAGGAAAGCTTTGCGGAACTCAGTGTTAAAGGTCGTGTAAATGATGGGGTTGAGAGCGCTGTTTACATAACCAAGCCAAGTGGTGGCACTGTAGAGCTCCCGGGTGATGTGACAAGCCTGGCAGTGGGTGTTCAGGATGTGGGTCATGAAGAATGGCAGCCAGCAGACTACGAATGTCCCTAGGGTTTAAAGGAGAGATGAGAGAACATATTGATTTTGGATTAATGCTGTTGCTCAGGGCTAAACTCTGCCCCCACTTATACCAATGCCAGACTGGGTTCTTCTGCCAGATGTGTGACTGGGCAAGTCACTTCACCTCTCCATGCCTCATTTTCCCCTTTTGTAAAGTGAGGTTCATAACACCCACCACAGTCATGTTCCCTGCATGCACATGTTCACCAACTCAGGCTGGTTCCTGCTCTTTAAGACACATGTAACTCACTAAACTACAGAAACCAATAGAGAGGTGTGGTCTTATTTACAGAGAGAGAGGCATCATCCTAGTCTCCACTACTGGGAGATCGACACTGTTGCAGTCGAGGCAGCAGGGATTGATTTAGTGCATCTAGTGAAGACCTGCTAAATCAATGGCAGAGTGCTCTGCAATCAACCCTGGTTCTAGGGTTGCCAACCCTTGCGGTTTTGCCGGGACTCTCCCAGAATCAGGCTTGATCTCCCAGAGGCTACTGCAGCCAAACCGGGAGATTTTAGGCGCTAAAACTCCGGCGGCGCAGCAGGGCTAAGGAGGCTCCCTGCCTGCCCTGGCTCCGCGCCACTCCTGGAAGCAGCCGGCATCTCCCTGCGGCCCCTGGGGTCTCCGTGTGCTGCCCCCACCCAAGCGCCAGCTCCACAGCTCCCATTGGCCGGGAACTGCAGCCAATGGGAGCTGCGGGGGTGGTGCCTGCAGGCGGGGGCAGCGCGCGGAGACCCTCTGGCCTCCCTGCCTTGTAACCACTGCCAGAGGGATGTGCCAGTCGCTTTCAGAAGCCACCCAAGATAAGCGCCGCCTGGCCGGAGCCTGCACCCCGATCCCCCTCCCCAGCCCTGAGCCCTCTCCCGCACCCAAACTCCCTCCCAGAGCACCTCCTCCTGCATCCCTGCACCCCCTCCTGCACCCAACCCCCCTGCCCCAGCCTGGTGAAAGTGAGTGAGGGTGGGGGAGAACAAGTTACGGGGTGGGGGATTGGAGTGAGCGGGGGGCAGGGCCTGGAAGAAGGGGCAAGGCTGTGGCCTCGGGAAAGGGGCGGGGCAGGGGCGGGGAAAGGGTGTTTGGGTTTGTGCGATTAGACTGTTGGCAACCCTACCCAGTACTCCAGCTCTCTGAGAAGAGTAAGGGACGTCAACCAGAGAGTGTCTTCTGTCAGCTCAGCACGGTGTAGACACCGCAGTAAGTTGACCTAAGCTACGTCAACTTCAGCTACGTTATTCACATAGCTGGAGTAGTGTAACTTAGGTCGACTTACCCCGGAGTGAAGACAAGCCCTTAGGGACTTTTCTTATTGACCTACACCTGGGGTGGTGGTGGTCTAAAATAAGTGATAGATCAAAAAATTCACTATCTAGAGAGGCACCCAAAAGTTGAGATGATTATCAGAACTTTTAAGTCTCTCTTCCTTGTCCCTTAATGTTTCCTTCTGCGGAAGAAGAGATCTTTCTGAATTCAGTGGCACTGCAACAATTCACACCAGCTGGGGCCCTCAGTTACAAAAGTCCCTTATGTTACTTTATGCTGGTATTTTGCATTTCGATAGCATCTTCCATGTGGAGATCTCAAAGCACTTTCCAAACACTTAGCCTCACAGAAACCCGCCCCATGAGATGGTTAAGCAGAATGCTTCTCACTCACCCAGAACGATAGCCAGCATCTGTGTGGCCTTCCTCTCTCTCAGCTGTACTGTCCGGGGCTGCTGGTGCACTAGCTTCAAAGAGGTCAAGATTTTGCCATTGCTGAGTTTATGCACCTCCAAGCCCTGTTCCCTGCTTCTCCTCTCCTCTTTTAGCTCATTTCCATTGGTCCCGGCCCTGGGGAAGGAAGCTTGGTGGCAGAAGCTGCAGTACTGCTGCAGGTCAGAGGGGGTCAGCAACTTCTTTTCAGGGGAAAGCTCTTGGGTTGGGGATTTTAGCTGCAGATGAGATGAGAGGGGATCTTGGTGCCCATGGTGCAAAGTTTTCCTCTCTTTGTGCTCCTGAAATGGAGGAATCCACAGAAATGTCAGGAACTATGGGTGAACAATGCAGTTTGCCAGGTCACGTGTAAAGCGGGACTCAGGGGAGCTCTTGTTCCCTTTTGGCAGCAAGGAGTAGGCCTGAATCAACACCCAGGATGCAAATTCACCCAAACTTTGGGGAGGTTCCAGATCCATTCTTGGAGCTGGAGCTGAACTTTGCACCTGACCCCTATCTCACAGTGGGATGACCTAGAACCCTGCATCTCTACTTTGCACCGAGGCCCAGATCCTTAAAGGTGATCAGGCTCCTAACTTGTACTAATATCAGTGGAACTTAGGAGCCTAAATTAGGGCCTGTGCCCTAGCTCTATCTTTAATTGGATGAACAAGCGCCCTGGATATGAACCCTCCACTTCCCAGCCACCCGACTTCGGAGTATATTTGTGCTTAGTGGTATTCCCTGCCTCCCCTTATGCATATTTTCCAGTGTAGCATTATTGTGAGGAAACCTCACACGTTAATGCAATATTGTGGAGCCACATATGGAGCAGAGCAAGCAGAATTCTGTAGCTGTTTGACCCTTTGAGTCTGCTAGGTGCGGAGAGCTTTAACAGGTTGCAATCCCTGAGGCTCTGATCATTAAAATAACCATAAAAATTAAAAGAAAAAAAAAAGCCAGAATGCTGCAGGGTCATTCTGTCACAGCTCTGAAGAAACACTGATTTAGGCCTTGCCCTTCTCTGCTGTGATGGTCTTAGAGAGTGGAGATATGGATACAAGCTCCAGAACAGTATCCCCTTGTTTGAGACTGGGCAAGGCTTTAGTTGGAGCCCCTATTCCAGGGGTGTTTCTGCTGAGCAACAGGAGGTATTTTTCTTCCTTCACGCCTAGCACTGAATGCCTTGACTCCCAACCCCTCCCAGATTGGGCAGCAAGAGTCAAACCCGGGTTTCCTATGTAGTGATGGAAAGCGCTAAGCAATAGGCTCCCCAGGCTCAGGTTAAAGGATGGGGGTGGAGGCAGAGAATGCTCTGACATCTGATCAGTTCAGACTGCGTTCACTTGGGTCTTACTTTCTGTGTGTAACAGGCTTTGATGCTGATGCTATGGCTGGCCTGCCTGGAGAGGCTTCGTTTCCTCTGTCTCTGCCTCAGCACGAAATAAATCCGGACATAAAACAGCAAGGTGACCACGAAGGGAAGGTAGAAGGATACCACCGAGGAATAGATGACAAAATCAGGGTTCGATATAGAACAGACACTAGGATCCCCTGGAGAGAGAGAGAGAGAGAGAGAAAGAGAGCGGGGAGTGGTTAGGCTGCTATGGACTTCAGGAACTACAAGGCTGTTTTGGTGCACATCAAGGTGTTTAATGCAGCCTAGGGACTATGTCACAGAAGTGCAGCTCTGGAGATATAGGTCAGCATGCCAAGTTACATCTCGGCCTATCTATCTGTCTGTCTGTCTGTATATGTGAGTGCCTCCACTTTCTGGGTAAAGTCTAGGCTGAGCTAATCAAGCACAGACCAATGCACTAGAACAGCAGCAGGTGCCACAGTCCAATGTCAGACTGGAGAGTGCCCTAAAATATAGGGCCTCCTTGTGAATTGAACCCCTTTTCCTCTTTAGATGCAGGATTTGTAGTTCTTAGCAGCTGCCTCTGACTGTCAGACTTTGTAGGCCACGTTTGGCCTTTGGGCCAACTTTGGGGACCCCCATTTCTAATCCTGCTCAGACACTCCTGCTCTGGAAATTGCTGTTACCTGTGGTATTGAAGCCAAATAGGAGGGGGCAGGACACAGCAAATGCCAACATCCAGACCATCACGATCATAATGGAAACCCTCCTGCAGGAGCTCTTCCCTGTGCCGTACTGATACTGAACTGGCATCACCACTGCCGTGTACCTGCGAAAGGAACCAGCTCCAAAGAGAGGGGGAGGAGGAAGAAAGGCGTGGAAAGGAGACAATGATCAAAACAAAAGAGAGAGTGAGAGAGAGAGAGAAAGGGCCCAGGTTTGACAGGGAGGAGCGAAGGCAGCGAGAGAATGGGAGACAGGGAATATGGTAGTGAAAGTAGTGGATATAAGAGAGAGGGAGAGACCCAGGAGATTGAATAATCAGAGCAAGGATTTGCAATGGTGGTAAGCAGGGTGGGAAAGGGAGCAAGAGGAACAACAGAGAAGTAGATGGTCACTTATCATCCCTAAGGTTAAGATTTTGATGAACAGCTGATATTGCCCCAGTGATGAGGCAGAAGGCTAGAATGGAGGCTACCAGCTCTGGATGCCGTGAGGTCTGGGGAAGATGACAGATACGGCTGGAAACTCAGAGTATGAGCCAACTCATTGATACTGTCATTGAAATCAGTGGAAAGGCTCCCACTAACTTCAGTGGGCTTTGGGCCAGGCCCTCTGCGAGGCTTGCTTTGCACACTTTCCTCTGAATCATGGCAGAAGGCGAATGGCAGGATATGTTTCTCCCCCAGTTTCCCAAACCCTAGGGAATTCAGCCCCCTAAAGCTGCACCTCCTGAGGTCTGTGCCGAGTTTTGTGACCATCCCTATCACCACCACCCACAGACATTCACTGCAAATTGATTTAAACACTAATCCCTTCAGTCCCACAATGTTACCAGTCATCTGCTCCACTTCAGGGTGCGTTAAAACTATGGCAAGGCTGGAGAGCACATCCAGATAGTTTTTCTCTCTCTTTTAAGCTGTGTTTATTAAAACCTCACAGGTGAGACTTGCAAAGGCAAAGGGCACTTAAGTGCCCACTCCCATTGAAAATCAGTGGGAGTTAGATGCCTAATTCACTTTTGTACTTTTGAAAATCTTCCCCTCTATTATCGAGGCATGGAAAACCATCCCATGAACACTTTCCTTGTATGATGTGCTTCTTTTCCCCACCCTCTGTTTCCCTGCCTTTTTATAGCATAAGCTCTTTCCATCAGGGACTGTGCCATCTTCCGTGTTTGTACAGCACCTAGCACATGGGAGGCACGACTGTAGCAACAACAATACTAGTCACAATGATGATGGTGGCTGGAGACTTTCAAGAAAGACTGGGTTCTCACAGATATCTGCTTTACCTTTGGCATTTAGACAAGGTATTTGTACCCAACCATTGTGCAAGCAGGCCCAGCCTGCTATCCCTTCCATCCCCAGTCCCGAGACCTACTCCTAGCTTCATGCTAATCTCCTTGGCTCCTACCTGTCAATGCTGATAGCACAGAGGTTTAAAATGCTGGCTGTGCACATCATCACGTCCATAGTGACAAAGATGTCGCAGCAGACACGGCTGAAATTCCAGACTCCTCCAGTCACCTGAGCATCAATTTCAAAATATTAGCCTTGCTTCATACTGGATACCAATGCATTGCACTTCTATTGGTCCTTCCATCTGACGATATCAAAAGGACTGTATGAACATTAATATTGCATTATTATACCCTTTTTACAGAGGGGGAAACTGAGGCATGTAGTGTTTAAGCAATTTGCCCAAAGTCTCTCAGTAGTAGGTCAAGAATAGAACCCAGGAGTCCTGATTCCCATTCCACTGCTTTGTGTGTGCTGCAAGGGGATGAAGGTGAGAAAATTAGGAGAAAACAGCCCCTACCCCAACGTTTTAGCATGAAGACTGCCACAGAAATTGAATTACAACTAATGTAATACACAGTTCCTCTGTTTAAGGAAAATCACAGACAAAACAAACAAAAAATGAGTGGCTAAGAATGTTTCCCAGCTTGGCTTCTGGAATTATTCCAGAGCCAATGAACTGGGAAAGTGACTCTGTTGCCCAGGGATTTTGCATATTCACATGACACACAGATCCTTCTCCAGAATCTTGTCTGAAATCTTATTTCACTTGTTCTAAAGGAGGGCCTGAGCTGCCAACTGTGAATATTACATCTGGATCCAAACTTTCCCAAAATTCACAGGGTCGTGAAATTTGGGGGTTTGGTTTGCGCCCATTTCTAGTTTCCTTTCATTTACATTTAAAATATAATGTAAAATATATGGAATAATGTCATGGAGGTGGCTAGTGACGGATAAATCACATGCTCAGCCCAACTGTCAGATTTTAGTGAGGACTTTCAAATTCTGCATACGCTCAGTTCAACACTTTGGCATGTAAATGCCTGTTTTGCCTAGCTAAGCACCAGTGCGGAGGCCCAGTTGCAGGATTGTAATGTCCTCTTTAAGTGCTAGTGTTGGGAAGTTGAATCTACAGGAGATGCTTTGGGAATTCTGAACACACCAAGGTCAGATGTGAACACCTCCTAGATTATTAGTTACTGAAGAACAGGCCATAGCTCCTTGGACCGTTCATTTCCCCTAGATTTCTAATGAAGACTCATGTTGCTGACTCACCTCTGACACTGATGCCAGGCTCGAATTCCACTGGCTAGGTTGTAAAGCACCAAGGATCATTAAGCTGTTCAGAGCACTCGATGAACTGTTCATTACAGGACCTCTAATAAATTTGTTGCTAGTGCTGGTGAAAAGTATTTGAGTGACAGCCACGGAGACAGAATGCTTGTTTTTAATCCACAGAAAATCAAGGGCAGCAGAAAGGAATGCTGCCCCAACCTTTCCACCCCACAGAAATAGTGGAAGAAAAAGCTGCTTCGAATGAGGGAATTTGCCCTACTTTTTTACTCAGGATCACAGTTCATGGTTTCGATAGGCTCCTCACCTGCCTCAATGCAGTGACAGCAGCAATGACCAAGAGCACTTGGTCAGGCTGTTGCGACCTTTCCTTTCAGATGTGGGTCTCACCACAGTGATCCCTGCCTTTGTTCCCTCCAGACGGGATCATTGCAACGTGCTCTACACCTGAAAACCATTCGGGTACGTCAGTTAAGTGCAGAATGTGGCCGCCAGCTTGTTGAATTGGGGCTTCTCGTAGAGACCATATTACCCATGTGCTCTGTGATCTGTACTGGCTCCCAGTTTATTTCTGGGGGCAGTTTGATGTGTCAGATTTAAGCAATTAATCCCTAAAGGGGATGGGTGCTGGTTATTGCAGCAGCTGCCTCCCTCCCTGGGTGATACCACGGCAGCTGTGATCAGCAGAGGTGCTCAGACTTACTGTCCCCTCATTGATAAGGAAGGGGGCTGGTGGGGGTGGGGGACTGTTTGACTCCAGAAGTAATTTTCTGTGTTGTTCTACAGGAGCCTGAAATTGTTGACTTTCAGGTCATAGTGCAAAGCCCATCCATTCTTCCAGGCTTTTTCTAGGGTGCAGAGCTGAGTGGGTGATGGAGACTCTAAGTCTGGGTGTGATCAGGAGGGTGTTAGATCTGGACGTGGTTATATTTTTGTACCGACACCATTTTTAGATGACTGGAAAACAAATGAGTTTTGACTCTGGAGGTGCAAACTCTAGGGCTGAAAAGTTGTTCAGTCTCCATTCAGTCCTTGGCCTGTGTGCTGAAACTGCCAGCAAGGAGGGGTTACTGTGATGTGGACACCTGTCCACTAAAAAGCATACTGAATATAAATTGGATTTTTAAAGTCTTTTGGACACTATTGATCTATTAATGGCTTTTCTGATGTGCCCATCATTGTAGTAGTTATCTATTTGTCATTTAAACCAGCAACCTGGCACTTAAAGTCTCTGAGGCTAGTACTAGGGTTGCCAACTTTCTAATTGCACAAAACTGAACACCTCTGCCCTGCCCCTTCCCTAGGCCCAGCCCCCACTTACTCCATCCCCTCTCCCTCCGTTGCTCACTCTCCCCCACCCTCACTCACATTCACCCGGCTGGGGCAATGGGTTGGGGTGCAGGAGGGGGGGTGAAGGGTTTGGTGTGTGGGAGAGGGCTCCAGGCTGGGGCAGGAGGTTGGGGTGGGGGGTGTGAGGGCTGTGGCTGGAGGTGTGGGCTCTGGGGTGGGGCTGGGGACGAGGGGTTTGGAGTGCAGGAAGGGGCTCAGGGCTGAGGTAGGGTGTTGGGGGTGTGTGGGGTGCTGGCTCCCAGTTTGGGTGCGGGAAGGGACTCCGGGCTGGGGCAGGGGGTTGGGATGCGGGAGAGGGTTCAGGATGTGGGGTCCCAGCAGTGCTTACCGCAGCTCCCGGAAGCAGCTGCCAGGTGCCTGAAGCCCCTAGGCTCAGGGCGGCCAGGGCAGTTCCACGCGCTGCCCTCGCACCCTCAGGCGCCACCCCTGCATCTCCCATTGGTCACAGTTCCCGGTCAATGGGAGCTGGCAGTAGGGGTGGGGGCAGTGCATGTAGCATCCCTGGCCGCCCATGTGTCTAGGGGCTTCAGGGACCTAGTGTCTGCTTCTGGGAGTCGCGTGGAGCTAGGGTAGGCAGGGAGCCTGCCTTAGCCCCAGGCCCCCACTGTGCTGCTGAACGGAATTTTAATGGCCCGGTTGGCGGTGTCGACCGGAGCCACCAGGGTCCCTTGTTGACAGGGCGTTCCAGTCAAAAACCGGACGCCTGGCAACCCTAGCTAGTACCAGTCCCCTAGCACTAGCCTCCCTGTTCTGGATATCAGGCTCAGAGGGGCAGGATCTCTCTCTCTCTCACTCACTCACTCACTCAGTCACACACACACACACTTACTCACTCTCCCCTCCTCCCCCAAGTCTGCCAATGAATCTGGTCTCCTGATTGGTTGAACTCCAGCAGGCACTTTCTTAACACCTGAACCAGGCTGGGGTCTCTGGCTGCTCAGTACAGTTCCATGCTGGCAGCTGTGTTTCTGGTCTTGATCTTGCCTACTCCTTGCTCTTTGTAGTTGGTTCCTGCTCCTGCCCTTGCTGCTACTCTGGTTCTGACTCTTGCCCCCTGCTTCCTGGCTCTGGCTTGTTCCCTGGACTTGGTAACTTGACTCCTCATTTGGGTTCTGGCCCCTAGGCCTGATCACCCCTGTTCAGCCATTAGGCCAGCCTCCTGTCCTGACCATTAGGTAAGGCTGTCCACAGCGTGCTTCTTAACACACATGCCTCTTTCCATGCTGGCAAAGGGAGGGGAACTTTCAAAAAATAAAACCAAATTCATTTTTTGAAATGAAAATGTTACCTCTAGGAGCATGTTATGTCTGTAACAAACACCTCTGTTTCCCAGCTATTGGGATGGCATGAGGTCTTGCTCCCAGCTCCTGCTGCCATAGTGATCTTTGTAGGAGGAGAGAAACCAGAAAGAAGCATCCCTTCCATCAACTAAGTATAATCAAAGGTGCAGAGTGAGCTACTGCCAGGGCCTGATTTTATCCTCCAGAGGGAAAACCTGTGGGGAGGAGTAAGGAGGAATCCAAATTCTGATTTCAGGAGGTTGGATTTGCCCTCCTTTTGCAGAGGAACTGGGGGTTCAGCTTCCAAACTCTGCAGATTTCCTGGAATCCAAGTGGCTCCTGGATATCAGCCAGGCATTTGCATTGGCTCCTTACCAACCTACCCCAGCTTCCTGAGAGTGTGGCTTCAAGGACTCCTCAATAGACAGCTGCTTCCCTGTAAGAGGATGCATCACAGCAGAGAGGCTCTGCAGGAAAACTAATGCAGTATCTGAGTGTAATAATTTTCCTCCTCATTTCCTGTGGGGTAAGTGTGGAATGATGTGCTCCCCCTCTTATCCCCAGTCTGCATCCAGCCTTCCTGGGCCTACAGAAAGTGGTGCATGACATCTGGAGCAGAGGATGAGGGTGTCATGAAAGCAGCTTCCTACCACACCATGGGCAATCAAAGGTGTACAATTCCTCACCTCAGGAACACTCATGCAAGGTCAGTCAGTAAGTGGCACTGTTATTAATCTCAGCTTCTAAGGCAACAGGCAGTGTGGAAAGTGCAGAAAGCAAACGAGGAGGCAATTCTCTGAAATGAGACCACTCTGCTGCTTACTAATGTTTTTAATTACCAAAAACTATGTGCTTGAGTGAATGAAGCATTCAGCATCTGTTCAGCTCCCCTTTATGGTCCTACTGCCCAGTATCTGAAATACTCGTTGTTATTCATTAGTTACTGTTTGTTTCATGCCAGCATTCCCAGAGATGTGTAAGCAGGTTAGAAGCAGAGCTGTGCAAAATGTGGTGATGTATTGTGCTATCTGGTGTTTTTCTTGAAAGCTAAGATTCTCACCTAATCATGTATCTCCTGGAGACACAATTTGTTAGTCTCTAAGGTGCCACAAGTACTCATGATTAGGTGAGAATCTAACTTTTTTTTGTTTTGTTTTTTGTTTTAATGAAAGCTAGGTTTCTAGCCCTCATGGCTGTGGAGAAAAGCTTGAAACCCTGAACCATAAAGGCTATGAAACTAGAAAACAAAGACCCTACAAGTTATTTTTATAAATCTAAATTTGTAAGCCCATGTCATGA